CAAAAAATAGAAAATCCCAAAGTACCTATATATTTATATAAATGTGTGTTTATTGTATGATAAATGATAAAAACATATTATAAACACAATTAGGTGTCATAATAAATTACACTGTCTTAATGTACCTAATTAATTCCAAGAAAATAAATATACGATCATTGTTATGATCAGATCAAGGCTATTTAGTGCATGTTATTAACAAAATTAATCATAGGGATTTCAATATTAAAATCCATTTGAATATGGTACATTGCCATTTTTGTTGTTTTGTTAAAAAATATAATATGTTTAGTATACATACCTATCTATTACATCGTTTTTAATAAAAGTATAATTTAACTTAACCTAACTTGCAGTATGTCATTGTTACTATTAATATTATTTATTTATTTTAACAAATTGTGTGTGTATTTGAACAGTTTGATTTAGTATGGTATGTATAATATATTGAATCAAAAACAGTAGGTAAACAATATTTTAAACAGAAAGTCGGATGTTAGTTACGTACAGCGCCGGATCATAGCTTTTTAACACCCAGGGAAAATTAAAAAAATACGCCCATCCAGGGGGATGACCAGAATTAGTATTTTTTTTTACGAAAAATCAAGCACACTCACACAGTATTGCGAGGAACTGAGGACCAACATTTACAAAACCTTTCCAAATGCACTGCAGGACCAATCATTTACATAGGCGCACATAGGGGGGTGCTTGGGGGTGCTTAGCACCCCCAAGCTTCAAACCAGCACCCTCAGTTTATTTCGGTATTTCACCAATCATTTATAAACTATCGTGGTTTATTGCCTATTGGTTCGCAATTTTTCTTTTTATTACAAATATTGACAACTGTTTACGAATTCACGATTAAAACAGTATTGTGTGAATGCATGGTTCAGTGTTTCAGTTTTTGTCAAAACATTAAACAGTATGTAGCAATCATATTATATCATATCATTAAAGAAAATTATATTATCTTACTGGTTATTTATATTTCCATTGTCTATGCATGATAAAATTTTCTAAATATTTTGAGTTATTTTGAGGTTTTTATGGACATTTTTAGTTTCCATTTTGTTTAGTTTTTTTTCTATAAGTATCAATAAAATTTTATTTGTTGGGTATAAAAGCTTAAAAATGTAATAGAAGGCTCCTAATATATTGTTTTCAAATTTTATGAAATATAAAAACAAAGTTACACAGTAAATTTTCTCATATTTATAGTGTGAACATTTAGTTTCTTACTTTCTTAGCTTAGAGTACAGCCTTAAAGTTTTTTATACCCATGCAAAACAGTTTTGCCTATGTTGTACCTACGTTTGTAATACGGAGACAACACATGTTGGTGTATACCTAGCGTCTTCTGTACAATCATACAGACTATTTGATACATTGCACTTTAGATATTATTGAATACACTATACAAATTAAATCTAATGCAATGCAGAAATATTAGGATTTAGGGTTGTGTGAATCATAAATTATTCCAGCACCCCCTAAATTCACACCCAATGTGCGCCTATGATCATTTATTTACCACAAATAATTTGAACGATTTTAACTTAAAAATGAAACATTTTAAAATTTAAACTATTCACGTAATATAGTTTTAGAAGCACTTCTTAATGGTGTATTTAAAGCTAAAATCTGTGGTCAATATTTCTAAGTTCCAGGTTTAGAATAAATAATATTGATAATAATAACATGTATGAATTATTTATTAACAAATCTAAATTAGGTATCTATTGCTTACTTTTAATATAGGACGCTTTATGTAAAAGAACAATATTTAATTTACAACATACCTATCAATATTATACATTTTCATTTTTAATAATTGTTACAATCAAAACTAATAATATGTACCTAGGTACGGAATAAATAAAATGAAACAAAAATGTAATTATGTACTGAAAATTTTAATATAATGATTATAACACGACAAAGAAATATTTATCATGGATTATCACTTATGGATTGAATGTACCTATATACTAAAATAACTACATTCTACATTCTACATTTTAAAAATTTCCAGAATAATAAGGACTTGGTTGTCTGTTTGACATCTTGAACTATAAAAATAAATCAGACAAAAAACACAGTTTATAATAAAAAAAAAACGAACCAAATAGAATATAAATTTCCTTTTAAATTATTTTAATATAATATGTAAAACATAATATTCAATCTGTCTTGGGCTACAATCAATAGGATAGTATTTTTGTTTTAATCATTTAATTATGTTGTACTTTTGTAGTATCAAGTTTATCAAGTAAATTAATAGTTGTATACTTGTACCTATTTAAAAACTAAAAAAGCAAACACAAATGACAAATTATATTCCATTTTGTGTTCTGTTACATTTATCTAGTGGCCATGGTGACATTTATAAAAAAGTTCAGTTTATAAAAAGGCATTTGTTGTTAAATACAAAGACTTTTATAAGTCTAGGTACGAACGTGTAATTCAATAAATAATCTGAAAACAATTAAATCATTAGTACCTAAGTAACATTTTATGTAGTACATAATTTTATGCAGTACCTACCTATTTGGAAAAATGTATAGTTGCTAATTTAAAATCACATAACAATGAATTACAATTAATAGTGTGATTTTTAAGATTAAGGTTTTAAACAACTATCGACATAATATTATATTATATGCAAGAAAATGATCTAATTTACCATACTTTATTATGTCACTAATCGGAGAGTACATTAATTTATTTATGATAGACTAATGCATGTACACTCCCGCTGACAGTAAGTTGCGGACGGGTTTTATTTATTTTATATTTTTATCTATTTTTTACCTTTTTCATATTTGTCCTTTTTAATATTTAAATCAATGTTATTATTTATTACTAATCTCAATTAAAAATAAAATTATTTTATTTTATTCACATACCCAATATTACACATTTCTTGTGAAATATTATTTTGAACTTAGTTTTGACTTTTGTTTTAAAGTCCATTTTCAATTTTCAATTTACAAAATATTTAAAACCTTAAAAATACGCCCACGAAAATTATACGCCCGGGGATAAATCCCCGACTTCCCCAGTCCCCCCCTAGATCCGGCCCTGGTTACATAGTTGAAATAGTAGTACCTACAATGATAAGATATATTTTGTACAAACAAACAAATGAATTGACAGTGATTGTAATTTTTGATTGATTTTTTAGTTAAAAATGCAATAGTTAAGTTACATTATGTACTTAACATTAGGTATATTTTTTCTATATAAACAATTTAATAGTTAAATTACATTTATACACATTACAATATATTTTTTTATATACAGGCATGCAATTAGTAAGAAATGCAATAGTTAAATTACAATTATGTACATGACATTATACTTTTTTTTTAAATAAACAATTAATCAGGTAAAAATACAATAGTTAAAATACAACGATGAAGGGACATGACATAATATAATGGTATAAAAATTTAGTAGTAAAAATATTCATAGATACAGTCAAGTAATATTATAAAAATTTAAAAAAACCAGTAACTATAATTTGTAAAATAACGTAAGAAAATCGAAAAAAAACATGCTTACCTACATAAATACATATAATATTAATACATAAAAAATGAAATATGGTAGATTAATTAACAAAAATTGAACGTACATACACAAAGTAAAGTTAAAATAATAATAATAGTAAAGAGAAAAGATCGGAAATTTGTAAAATTACGGGAAAAAAATGCAAAAAATAATCGGGGTTCGGGCGGCCGTGTAAACCATATGGAAATGACCGCAACGACGCCCCGAGAGCGTATGGCGGATTCGAACCCGGGACCTACGTGTTAACTACCTAACGCCTAACCTACTCGGACACAATTTGAGATATGAATTATGGTCAAAACATCAACACTTAAGCCGTGCGTCTACGGAGCGACGTAAGCCGATATATTCGATGTTCATCGATGTAATCGCATATAATTCGCTTGTAATACGCGCATCTCCCATATATATATTTAACGGAGCGAGTGAAAAGCATTTTCCGTTAATAATTATTAAATCAATAGGCAAAAATAAAATTATACACGTACATACATGTATATATAACGTACGGTCGGTCGTAATATCTAAACGCGATTGCGAAGCGAACCGACCGATTTCGTAAGAAAAGCGTATATATACGGCTTTAGAAAGACGTCAACTACACGATTCGGGCACGAACGACGTGCGAAAAGACGAAACTGTCGGAGAAAACGAAAGAAATCGGCAAAAAAGTCCGGCCGGGAGCGTATTTTGCGATCGACATTGCGACGGCTACGGACGGCGAACGGATATAAACCGCACACCGGCGGCTTCGAGAGATCGCGAGCTACGCGAATCAAATATGAATATGAGCGAAAAAGGCTAGAAAACGGTCGAAATCGTGTAAAAAGTGTAAATTTCGAAAATTTCGAAAATGATAAGAAAAGAAGTGATAACGCGGTTATTGCCCGCCGCAGAATCTGAACGTTGCGATTGGCCGGGCCGGAAAAACGACACAAAAGTCGTCTATCCCCGTGGACAAAACTGGGGACTAACCTCGTTTTATAATATAAGAGATTTTCAAATGTTAACTTGTTAATTTGTTTTTACTTTTTACCTACAATATTAGTTTATTCCAATATTATCTAAAGGCTAATACTGTTAAGAAATGTTATACCTACTTTAAAGTTAAAAGTATAAGACATAAGTATTAATTTATTTAATTTAAATATGTTGAACTGAACTTATTATTTCAAAAGTGTTAGAACTTAGAACTGATGTTTTTTACTATTGTTAATTTTTATAAATTTAAAATTAATTTGTTGGTTTAAAGTCTTACTAGTCTCAGTATACTACCATGGTCATAGAAAATCCATAAGCCTATTTTGTAATAAAAGTATTTATAATCAATGGTAACATGGAATAAACAGTGGGACAACTTATATACACAATGTACCTACTTAATTAACAATATTTAAATACCTATCTAGTTTTTATCTTTGTAGATGCTTCCAAAAAAACTGAAATGGGTAATTGTAATATTTACCTCGAGCAAAGATTATAGTGTTGTACCAATTAATTGGCTTTTAGAGACAGAAGTTGAAAATTTATATAGTAGGACTATAAAAAATTGTTACTGGCCACCCTTCAGAGTTACCAGTAGCCATTTAAAAGAGGCCAAAGATCCAGAACCATCTTGGCAGCAGTATCAAATTAAAGTCGTTGGTGGTAACAAGACTTATGGTAAGAGAAATAAAACAATTAATTGAATACTTTAATGTTAACATTTTATTCTAATATACGTATACCTATACGTATAATTTTTTTAAAATTTTTTATAATAGGTATAATTGATTACAACTTTTTACTGATTTCTTTTACATTTTGATGAACACCTAATTCTTGATAATATTTTTATTGTGTTAATAATATTATGGTCAGTTTTATTTATACACTTCTAGTTACTACCCATTTTTTAAATATAATTATATTGATTAAAACCTGATTAAAAGTGGGGTATTTTAATATTAATTAAAATTAATATAGGTACCTAAATTTGAATGATGTAATCCTGGAAATAGACTACCTACAGCAAAATTAAAAAGACTTGTGTAATTGGTTAATAGTAGGTATAGCCTTATAGTTAATGTTTATGAATATATAGGTAAAGCATCGGGTAAAGCTCTAATTTGTTTGCCAAGTTATTGTATAGAGTTTGCAACACTATTAATTTTTTAATTCAACAATAATAATACCTAACAAAATCTTTTATTATTGTTAGTTTATAGGTTATTTTGAATAAAATATATTTGTTTGCACTTGGCTTCTATAATATAAAATTTGCATTTTAGATAATTTCAATAAGGCTTGGTACAAACGAGTAGAAGTGGAATCAACAGACAGTGAAAATATTTTGAATGACCCGTTACTTCTGAAAAAAAAGAAACAAAATACCTTAGACAGTAGTGACAGTGATGACGAAGGTACCTATAAACATTATTATTTATGTTTAAGTTATATTTGATGTATTATATCATACCTAACTAGTCGTATTTGATTTAATTTAAAGATCCTGGTTATACTATTATACCCAATATTCAAGGGGCAACAGTGTCAGGAACATTATCTGAAGAGCCATTGCAAACATTTTCAACAAATAATAGTGCTTCTTTTTCATCAGCAGTAGACTCCACTTTTCACAAAGAAAATAGTTATACAGATTTGCAACCTTTGACATTGCTCAATTCAAACTGAAACACTATAGCATCTCTGATGCAAGCTACAGACTACATGAATTTACCAACGACAAGTGAATCTTCAAATACATCAATGATAATATGTGAATCTTCAAATCCAGTATCACAGGTACATACAGTTCAATGTTCTTATAATAAAATGTACTAAACAGAATCTAATTATTATTATATATATTACAGAAACTTGAATCTACGGCGTCTCAAAATCAACACTTTCCAAATACTATTGAAAAATTATCTTATCCAACATTACAAAATTCATTTGAAGGTAAGGTTAATTTTAATATGCCTAGTAAAAGTGATGAAAATGACCAAACATTTAAGGCATTTAAATTAATTCATAAATTATCATAATTAAAATTAATTACTTTCAAAAAATTATACTAAAAATTAGTTAATGAACAAACGATGATACTGCACATATATATAACCGTATATCTATTCTAAGTTTCTTTAACTTTATTACCCTTTAATAAATATAATAATACAGACGACGGTGCCCACATGTTCTTATATCTGTTCCATAACTAATTATTCATCATTTCACAAAAATGATTTAATTTTGAAATTGGTGATTAATATAATATAGTCTTCTTCACTATCTATGAATTAAACTTTTAAAATGATTATAGTCCTATAAGATTGAAATAAATGCTTAATAATTTACATATTTTTGTGCTTGAAGGAATTCACATATTATTCAAACAAATTTATGAAGAATTGATAGCTAATCGAATGATGAACGATAGACTTTAAAATAAGATAGATAGTTTAAAAGATGATGTTAAACGGTTCACCAGTCAAATGGTACCAACATTTGATTTTTCAAATGATACTGAAGATGTGTCGTTTTTATCACAGTTTCCATTGTCATCTAAAGAAAGTGTTGTTGAGTGTGAAAAAGTATTACAGATTGATTGTAATATAAAAGAGAAATTGGTATGTAAATGGAATCATCTATTTATTTATTTTATTCTTAAAATTTTAATTTATTGAGATTGTTCTGAACAAATTCTGTTGACAGAAAAATATGTTTTGTTCAATTGGTGGTAACGATGGTAAGACACATCTTCGTCGTATTTTATCCAAAACATTTACCAACAAATTTGCTATTAACTGTTCCTGGACTGGCAGGGCATTTGAAAAAGATGTAACAAAATTCAAAATCAAAGATTTACTGATTATTAATTTAATGAAGGGTATATCATATAATAATACATTTTATGTGCCATGAGGTTCTTATAAATGTAATTTAACATTTTTTTTATTAGGTATAATTAAAAATAAGTATCAATATTCTGATTCTACATTTGAAGTAGAAGTACAAAGTTGGTTTAGAACTGCTAAAACACAATATGACAGGACAAAGTAAATTTGATAGCATTGCTACTTTTAAAAATTAACTTAATACATTATAAATATATAATATAATATATATACATGATGTAACAAATATTATGAGTCAACTTTATAATTAGGTATTTAAAAAAAATATATGTTGTATGTACTTGTTTTAGTGTTCAGTTCATAAACGCATTAAAGATATCGGAAGTATATCTAAACGTCAATTTCAGAGGCGTATTAAAAATCAATTACAATTACTACATAATAATAATCCAGCAATACCCATAAATCCTGATATTCAATCTTCATCACAAGTATGTTTTAAAATAAAAGTTTTTTTTAAATAATATTATACATATAATAATGTTTTTACTTTTTAGGTAATAAATTCTATCACACTTTCAAAAGCATCTTCCAATGAAGAAATTAATAAAATTAATTGTATTGAATCACATATTTCTATGACTAATAATGTGCAGACTGATCAATTTTGTAATTTAACTGTAAGCATTAGACACATTTCAATCTATTTTTACCTACCTACCTACCTAATAATTTTTTTTAAATTATAAATTATATTAAATTAATTTTTAGGCTTTTTCTGAAGACATCCAGCCTATTGAAGATTTAATGTGTGCAACTAGTTCAATCAAAGACAAAAACAAAGATCTTGTGCAACATCTTCGAAAATGGGCCGTGCAGTTCAATGTATCTCACGCGTGTGCTAATGAAATTTTGAAAATTCTTAGAAGTACAGGTATACAAGTTCCCAAAGATATTCGAACAATTCTCCATGAATATAAGGTTATTAGACCTATTCTAGAAATAGAAAATGGATCATATCTGGATTTAGGTATTTACAATATTGTACAACCTCATTTAGCCAAAGAAATTGATAGCATTCCTAATAATATCACAATAAAATTGGGTTTTAGTATTGATGGGCTACCTTTAGCTAAAAGCTCTAAGACTCAGTTTTGGCCTATTCTTTTATCATTTATCAATGTACCAATTTTTTCAAACAAAATATTTCCAGTTGGTATTTATCACAGCTTTAAAGGCAAACCCGGTGATGTAAACGAGTACTTACGCCCATTTATTAATGAGCTAAATAGCATTTTAACATCAGGTATTAAAATTAACGATAAGCTAATACATTTTGAAGTAGCTCATATTGTAGCTGACGCGCCAGCTAAAGCTTATTTATTGAATGTAAAAAATCATAACGGCTATTTTTCTTGTTCATCATGTGAAGTCGAAGGTGATTATATCGAAAATAAAGTTTGTTTCTTAGATTTTTCTGCGCCACTAAGAACAAATAATTCATTTAGATTAAAATCAAACTCTGAGTACCATAAAAATGGATTTAGTCCGTTAATAGATCTTCCAATTGATATAATAAAATGTGTGGTCTTAGATTACATGCATTGTGTATGTCAAGGTGTGATGAAAAGACTGTTAGAATTCTGGATTAAAGGAAAAAATCACTTAATAATTTTGGAAGAAAAAAAAGATTCCATTTCTTTATCCCTATTTAATTTGAGAAAATCGGTACCTTCAGAGTTTGCTCGTTTGCCTAGATCGCTAGATGATATAGAGTTTTGGAAGGCTACCGAGTTCCGTGAATTTTTGCTATACACAGGTGTTGTTGTCTTAAAATCAAATTTGTCTAAAGAAAAATATTATCATTTTCTTCTCCTATTCGTATCTATTAGAATTTTGTGTTCAAATGAAGTTTGTAATAAATATAATAATTTAGCCTCAAAATTGATAAGAGAATTTGTTGAAAATTATTCAACTATTTACGGACCTCAGTTCATTAACTACAATGTGCACAGTTTAATTCATCTATCTTTTTTTGTTAGGCTATATGGTCCATTGGACAATTTCAGTGCATTCAAGTACGAAAATTACCTTCAAACTCTAAAGAAGTCAATGAAATGCTGTAAATATCCACTTTCTGAAATAAAAAACAAAATAATAGCACTTGAATGTGAAGAATTGAAAAGCATCACACCAAATAAATGTATTTTAAAGTATTTTAAAATAGATGAAAATCTTTCAAACTTTGAATTAACATTTTACCATCAAATTACCCTTAAATCTAACAACTACGTTGTTTGTTGTAAAAATATTAAAAATCAGTTTTTTATTTTAGAAAATGACGATATAGTTATTATAAAAAAAATTTACAAAAATAATAGGGATGACGTGATTAAATTATCTGTTGTAAAATTATTAAGTATAAGTGATTTGTTTAAATTACCAGTGCCGAGTAAACTTGTAGGTGTTTTTTTTGTTAATACTCATAATGTATCGGATCTTTATGAAATAATTGTAAATAATATTAAATTTAAGTGTTTTTTTGTTCAATTTCCTAATAATGAAGGAGTTATTATTTCATTATGTCATAATGTTTAGACAAAAAAGTTTATAAAACAAATAAAAAGCATATCTTTAAGTTATTATCTGTTGTAAAATTATAAAATATAAGTGATTTGTTTAAATAACCAGTGCCAAGTAAGCTTGTAGGTATTTTTTTTTTTTGTTAATGTAATGCATCTCAACATTAATTAAATTATTATAATTAATTAAGAAGTAATATTAAGTGAAAAAAGAAGGAGTAATTATTTTATTATATTTTATTTCTTATTGTATCAATTAATTAATACATCTAAAACCTATGTACGTTATTTTTTATTGTTATTTACTGTAGTATTGTACTACATTTTTTTTTAAATTCCATCTGATGGCAATAGTATAAAAATATAATACTATTGATTATTGAATATATATATATAAATAATGCAAGTTAAATATTAATTTGTATACATTTTGTGTTCATTATTAAATACAAACTTTTGGAAACCATATTTTTTACCTTTTTTTTTATTTATTTCTATACCTAGTTAAATAGAATCTTTAAAGGATAAGTAGGATATATAATATATTATATAATATATAAAATATATATGTTAATATATTTTATGTATAAATACATAATTATATAAGTATAAAAAATAATATATTCTACTTTATATCCTTATGGTAAATTCTATGCAGTCACATATTGTGTATATCCATGAAACTGTTAAAAAACATTACGGGAATATAATATTTTAATCTATTTACAAGAACCCAAAAAAAAATATAACTGGAACTATTTATAGGAATATTAATATTATATTCCAAAATACCATAAATGGAATATAATCATGACTTACAATTCAGTTATGTTGCAGCAAAACGTTAAAATTATGTTCCACAGAACTATAAACAGAATATAAACGTGACATACAGTACATTTATGTTTTATTCATTGTTGCAAACAACACGGCATATTGCATTATAGGAATGTTTTTGGAACTCTAATGGAAGTTCCGTAAGAACGTTTCAATGTTCCTTATTAGGAATATTCCTTTTACATAATCGTAACTGTTTTTTGCACGGTGGTACTGAACCAGTGGCGTCCGCAGGATTTTTCAATGGGGGGGGCTTGAAAATTAGTTACAAATTTATTTTTATTTTATCCAGTCTAATAATTTCATACGTTTATTTGAGGTATTTTAAAATGTTTGTGACTTTTCAGGTAGAAAATATGCTCTTATAAGCTACGATGCCCAGTGTATGTTTTTGGAAGCAAATTGAATCTAGTTGGTACTTTTAGGAGGTCGAAATTGAATCTGCTCAGTGCTTTTAAAAGTACCTAATTGGAGAAAAAAAATGAAAACTCATTTAAATTGTTTGGTAACAGTCGCTTGGTTACAGTGGCGTATTTATGGGAGGGATAGATCCCCTCCCTTACCCATCTTTTTCCATGTATAAAGTACAAACTGCTGCAGTACTGTTGTTATTTATAATTTTGTTATCCTGTGGGCATGTGAGTGACATTACATAACATTTATTATTATTATATACCTTACATGGAGTAACTAACAAAAAGTTGCAACAGCACTAAACAAATTTTGATATCCCCCTCAAGAAAATCCTATATACGCCCCTGCTTGGTTATACCGTCCTCACTTGGGTTGTATTTGATTGATTAAAATTTTTTTTTATAAATGTCAATAAAAAATTATTTATCCGGTCGAAAAGCTTAAAAATGTAATACGTAAGTTTTTTTTATTATAGCTAAAATATTAACAATACATATGCATTTAAATATTTTAAAAAGTTTTTAAAGTTTTTTTTTGCATTTCACAGTTAATTTGTTGTTCAAAACTTAAAATATTTTATATACCTATAAAATATTTACAGCTAAGGCTAGACAATTTAATACAAGGTCTTTCGTACAAGTAGTTCATTCTTTTACCGAAAAATTACAGATAATTTATGAAAATTGGTATGCAAATACAATGTTTTTTCAAAAATGAATTCATTCTGGTAAGTTATATATGAAATTTAAGTCTTGCTTACTATAGTTGACAGTTTAAATTTGATTAATATTTTTTTTTAAAAGTAATAATAATACGGGCAATGGGGGGGGCTTCAGCCCGTTAGCCCCCCCCCCCTGCGGACGCCCCTGGTCACATTTCACGATTATACAATATATACAGATATTTTAATAGATTATAAATATATATATATATACAGATATGAGATCATTGAACAATAATAACAATTTAATAATTTATGCGGTGATGACCGTGCGCGTATGTCGAAATGTTGTCCGGTAACACATGACGCTTATCGTCAGCCCTGTTTAAAACTAATTTCATAGTCCTAATCGTACGCATTTCGTGTTTAAACGACCGTATAGAGACATTTTCTTTATACGATGTAAAAGGCATATAGCTATAACAGTGTGACGGATGTGTGGTCGACGGTGAATTTGTTGCAGACGTTGAGGCGTTCCGATGAATTTGTGCTACAGCTTTCAGCGCGGAGTCGGCTGCGATCATTTTCCCCATATTTGCGTCGAATTCGTCGTCGCACTCGTCGGATTCTGCATCGTCATCCACGTCGGCGAATAAGCACCGCTTATGCTCGGCGAAAGTTAGGTGATTTCTAATAACGTGTCTCGCATGACACCCTTCGGGCGAATTGAGACCTCCTCTTCCACGTCGTACGCATAAGACTTTGCGCGCAAAGCTACAAATTCGTAGACCGTCCTGGAGCCACACTCGAATTTAAAAAGTCCTGGAATGCGCTTCCGAGCAGCTGTATAGCACTTGTGATCGTTTGCGAAATTTGAGGTGTCCATAAACCGCATCAGATTCGGATTGTTGATCAAATTGGCGAAGAAATCGTTGGTCGTCACGCAGTAGAATAGTGAATCTGAAAATATATGAAATAATAATAATTAATAATATATAAGATCTGCATGAGTCTGCACGAGATTTCTATAGACGTACCAGTATCGGTATAAAGCAGCTCGATCTTATCTCCATAATGTCGTTTCATAACGTCATAATGAAATCCGTACATTAAAACTTTACTCAGTTCCAGTACAGCAAATCCTATGTATATCGGCTTACAAAAATCGACTTCTTTACTATGCTGCGTGACGACCGAAAGATTTTCATTGTAAGTCGTGCAGTACTTGAACGTCGGGCGGTTTATCAGCTTCCGCATTCTGACTGGACACGATACAAGCTCCAAATCAAATCTTAGGCGCATATTCTCGAAAGTTTTCCCTGCATACATATACATAGTTATCATGAAGTAAAGTTTGAGCAGGTTAAAGTCCGATAAAACATGTACAATTTATAACAATAACATACCGTACACTGAATTATTTAAATCCTTAAAAAACTTTTCTTCGCATTTGTTTTTCGCCTGCTTCCGCAATTCCGTGTTCAGATTTATGTACGGAGCCAGCCATGGTGATTGGCGAAATTCTAACACTCTGTGAGTCTATAATGTGTGTAAAAGTTATAAGAATCGTATTCGTCAAATAATAATTATATTAATAATAACTTTTTCGACTACGACGCCGTGGGCCATGGCCTGTTTTAAATTCATATAATGAACCACGTAGCGTTCTTTCCGCAGAAAAGTAACCATCAACTTTCGCACAGAGGACCCGTGTGGTATGCTAGCGTGAGGCAGGAGCGGCATATCGTTGTGGGCGTCGTGTAGATCCTGCGGATATATTATATCCACCTCGAAAAATCTACCCACATCGTCCGTCGCGCACATCCACTCTAACTGAGCCAGCGCGACCTCTGGATTTCCCGCGTACCATACGAAATCCCCAATCGGCATATACTGACACATCGCGTACCCGTACAAATTGTTTGCTAAATAAATACGGTAAAAAATGGATTAGTATATACTCGCACATATATTTTATATTTTATAATCACCATCTAGGTATATGAGCGACGTGTTGGGTTCTTCCGCATTGTATCCCGGCGTCTCAGGATTGTTGGTACGCGCGTGACGCTTGCTAGCCTGCACCAGACCCCCGCGCGTGCCCGACTTGACGAACAGAACATTCTCGAAATCGGTCAAAAGTTCAAGATGAACTTTCGTAAGTTTCAGCATACAGTCAAAACTGAAGCCGGGTAACGTGTAGTAATGTGCGGGGTCGAGGTGATATGTGGCCATACATATATCCCTGAAATTCTCGAACACGTCGGCGCTTAACATCACGTCGACTTTAAGGTATAAATCGCTATAAGCGCCGAGTGAGGTGCAGCCGAAATGATTCCAGACCCTGGTCGCGTGACTATAATCCTTGTCACTCACGTGCGTCTCAGTCAGCGCGCTGTAGAAATAGCGTCCAATTTATCCCACGAATCTGTATATTCATACGGATATACGCCTTTCCGCGTGACCAACTCCATCTCCGACGGGGTGAACACTTTCGCGACTTCGCGAAACTTATCAAAGTTTGCGGAGGTGAGGTTCTCCGCCAAGTGCGCCAAGCTTGACGCCATGAATCGACACGTGTCTACAAACCTGACGGAGAATGAGTTGTTAATATACTTCGAGAACGAAATATATTTCTCCTCGGTGTTCGCTATTACCGATATTCGATTATTGTCGCCGTCGCCCGCCAAATTCGTCACGATAAAATGGGCATCGTAGTTGGACAGATTGTGCAGATAGCATGGTACAAAATTCGGTGTTTTCAACTTAAGGTTGCACGTGTTGCATAATGTTTTTAGAAAACGTCCCGACAAGTGGTCGTGGTGTGCAGTTTTACAATTGCGTTCGCTAAACGTGCAGCTGCACAAGTCACACATTGTCTTGACGTCATGCACGTGACAATCCTCAACACTCATAATAATCGGTACATTTACTTCCTTATATAATCTTGCTATCTTTTCGCCCACACCGAGTAGGTACGTCGCTGATAAAGCGGTTGGCAACATCGTCCTGAGTAGCTGAACCACGGAAAATGACCGGAGCTCGCGGTATGTCGAACTGGTCGAGCAACTCTATCGGCACCCCCTCCGCCGCGACAACATGGTACCCGTAGCTCATTGGATGATGTTCGTGTATCGCGGTGGTATTTTCACCTTGTTTTCGCCCCGTTTTCAGTAGTAGGGCTTCAAAGTCAGCGTATACCACGAACGGTAGACGACCCGTCTTACACCACGCCACGACTTTGGTCTTTGAGCGTGTCTCCTTCTTTCGGCATAAGAGGAACAACCGGTTTGTGTGCGCCGCACAGTAAACTGGCGAAGTACCGTTTGCAGTAAAACAATCGATGTTGGTGATTATTTTTTTGCGAACTGGCTAGGCGTGAAAAATTAGAAATGAACGCATAATGATTCTTGTCATCCTTCCCGGTAATCAGTAGCAGGTCAAAATGATCTTCCTTTTCTTCAGCCGCGATTCGCAGAGGGTACGCGACAGATTGTGTGGACGACTTTTTATTGTTTTTATTTTTATTTTTTACGCATTTTCTTACGCCGTATACATTAACAATCGTGCCGGGATTCGACTTTTCAAATACCTTTATCTCGCACACCGGAGTGGGGGTTGAGAGTGCAGAAAAGTCGTATCGGTGTTCTTCGCTCGAATAATTCGTGCCTACTCGCGCGCGATCGCAAAGTACGTGTTTGGCTAGGATCGCCCACTTGAAACATTGCCGGTCGATATTTTGAGGGTTGATAACATCATTCCGGTTGAGAATACTCTCCGGCAACGGTAAGTACGACGATCCCCCCATAGGCGTGTACTCGTACACACCCAAGAGCAGTCCATCGATGCACGATAAGGAAAAACCACTATACTTTCCGGCGTAATCCTCTTCGGCGAGGAGCGCTGAGAAATCGCGATCGACCAAACGTTCGACATTACAACTGTGTACGTATAATTCGCGGACCGAAGTTTTAAATGCGCGATTTTGAGCTGAATTGTGTAAATTTGGTACGACGTATGTGGCCTCTAATTTCAGGTTGTATTTGATCGGATTAATACGCCCGCACTCACGTAATTTCGAGATTAATTCGGACTCTATTGAATTTAGGAACGCTCGGTAACTTGCTACATTATCGACATTTTTCCTAAAATACCACACGATAGTACGATGGAGCGACGTATCGATCTCGATAAAGCCGGGCGAATTAACCTTTTGCATGCGAGCATTTTTCCGTTTGATAATTTTCCTAGAACTTTCTGTATGAGCAACAAATTCCCCGGTTGGCGGTGGTGAAAGCGAAAGCGGTAGTGCGGCGGTCACGGGGGATCTTGCGTCGGGTTCGTCGACGATAGCCTGTGCGGGTGGCGGGGAAACGATAATCGGTGTGCGGCTGGACAATGACGACGATGAGGCTTGAGGTTGGGGGGTAGGTATGTCCACACGACAGGGGCGTGACGAGATGACCGTCGGAGTCAGAACATCTGGCCGAGCATGCGGTGTGGGCGCCATCCGATTGCGTCCCGTTTCAACCTTGTATACCTTTTCAGTATGTCGATTGCGTCCACAAGTCGGATAGGTAAATTATTTTTACTTACCTTTTTATGTTCCGATTGCGTCCTATTGTATAGTATACATGCATTAAATTACTCAATATTTTAATATGATTTTAGTAATGACTATTAAATTCATTCGTAGTTCCAAGATTGATATATTGGAAAACGAATAGTCATAACTAGTAATTATTTTTTTATTATTAAATAATTTAAATAATACATTTCTAGTCCACCAATAAAATTAAGTCCAAATATGTTTATAAGAATAAATAATTAAATAATACATTTCTAATCAGTGTTATAAAATAATAATAATACAAAAACCAATAAAATTAAGTCCAAATATGTAGGAATAAATAATAATAATAAACAAAATAACATTTGCATTTTTTATTTGTGCAACTCCAACGCTCGACATCATTGGCCAACATTTTGTGAAAACAATACTTAAACTTATCAATAACTTTGATTTCTTTATTTTTTTCACTTATACTTTCAGTAATATTTTGAGTCTTCATTTTGAATTTTCAATATAAACAATAAACTTTAAAGTAGGTATCTCTCGACTCTAAGGCACTTGTACTAAATCGCTACGTGGTCGTAAATCAATAAGAGTATACCAGCCTTAAGATAAAATGTTCGTAAAATCATCAAGTAAAAACCAATTCGTGTTTAAATATAAGATTTAATTTGTCAATTTATGTGTCACATACCTACTATACCTAATTACCTACTATACAATAGGACGCAATCGGAACACGGAAAAGGTGGACAAAAAATCGTTTACCTGCGCCTGGGACGCAATCGACAAACTCCGTGCGGTGTAGCGGCTGAGGGTGCCCACTTTATGACTGATGTGCGACCTAACATGTATTATTAATATATTATTATTGTTATCGTTATTATTATTTATAAGCGAAAAAAATTATTTACCCATTGCACCACCTACTCGTACGGCACTGTGGAATTCTGGAGTGTTTTTAACGATCTCTATTTTAAAAATAATTTAATTAATAACTCCGAGTATTGTCGATCCGAAAAAAACATTGTATGTGTATTTTTCCGGGTCAATGACGAATAATATTCACTGTACTTACTGTGACATTTTTGAACATGGATACTGAGTTTGTCTCGACGGGTGAACGTCTTGAGGCATATCCTGCATGAAATCACTGATCCCCATCGTGGGTTTTGACATGTCTGTTCAGATCTCACTTATGGGAGTACACTTTTTCACATAACACACAGTTAAACATTTTTAAATATTTTATACTAGAGAAGTTATTTTAACGGAGTGAGCGAGGTAATACGAATGTACACCAGTTGTCGTCGAGTTGCACTGACCGTCTGGCGGTGGACCCGAATATCGGATGCTGTGGTGGATTATTATTATTATTATTATTCTGTATACCGTAAGAGCGGGATACTTTGCTCCAAATATATTTCTTTTTTAGTTTGAACCTATACTATAGCTTCAATAACAAAGATAAAAATTACCTGTTCGCGTTGTTTTATATGTATAGATGTTAAGAGGTAAAAACAATTCAAAAAAATCCGAATGTCGTACTAGTGACTTACTTACTTATTCCCAAAAGTTTGGAGCATAGTTAAAATACATTGCAGGTTACATTGCTCAATGATTAAAATTACCTTACTTTAATGCATATAATAACTATTGGTGCAATGTTTAGTGCTTGTGTTTTAACTTATTTGAACCTATACTTAATATAATTTAATAATATATTTTTTTTTTTTTTTTTAGTTGATTAAAAGTCTTTTTTCAATACATTTTAAATTAAATTTCAATCCCCTAGATTTTGGATAACTTTTCCGTTATGCATTTTTGTGTTTTTGAAAACCATTTTTTACATGATATACATCTTGGAGGAAAACTAATAGATTCATGTCCGTAATGTTTGAAAAAATTAGTAATGTTAATAAGAATAATATAAAAAAAACTACAATCTCTGATCTCAAAATCGTAATGTGCTACGATTGATATCAATAAAAATTTTTTTTGGAGCAATGTTTAACCCCTGGAGTAAAGTATCCCGCTCTTACGGTATGTATTGCAACGGCCACTAGCTTTCGCCATATAACCGACAGTTGCTTACAGACGGTTACACTGGTTAGAAGCGTCTTATTCACGTTTAAACGTTAACAGTTGGAACGCCTTATTTACGATTTAAAATATTTTTCTACGATTCATTTGCAATGAATATATTACAATGTACCGTCGGTTGTCGATCACTAGTGCTTTTGGTACATGAGAACTCTGATCCGGAATATCCTCAGTATACAAGCTTTTTATCGAGGTTGAAAACATTCGATTCACACCCGGCTCGATCGTGTCAAGATAAATATTCACTGGCCGCCAGCGGATTCACTTATACCGGGACTCAGGATTTGGTTCAATGTCACTACTGCGGGTTATTGTTGGGGCAATGGGAGGAAAATGACGAAGTGTGGCAGCAACACGCCCTGCACAACCCTAAATGTGTATTCGTATTATTGTATAAAGGCATGGAATTTATTGAAAATGTAAAAAATGAATCGGCCATTCTACCCTACTGGGCATGTTTGTTGATTTGTATTATTATTTTTGTCAATATATATATAAATGAATGTTTGTGTGTATATTAGACCTCTGGGGAGAAGACAGGCTAATTTAAAAATGGATAAATTTTATTCATCTGATATTTTGTGTTAAGCAGAACTCAATTTATGTTGTTAGCTTTACTCAAACATAGGACTTGGAACTGGTTAAAATTACCTAAGTAAGAAAGTTACTTTTTATTTATTTATTTTATTACTATATTTTTAAGTAACTTTATAACTTAACTAGTTGAATGATTTAATGAATGAAAATAAACTTATCTAACTTGTTAAAAACAATAAGTAACTACACTTATTTTTGTAGTTTTTTTTCATTCTAAAAGTCCAAATATTCCATAAAGCTGCGAGTGTCAACTATATAACCATATAATTTTGAAAATAATTTGACTCTTTTTGAGCTCTTTACGGACCATTTCAAATTTTAATTCTTTTAGTTTTTTTTTTCTATGAATATCAATGAAATTGTATTTGTTGGGTAAAAACCGTGAAAATGTAATGCAAGGCTCCTGATATATTGTTACAGTAGCAGTGGAAAAATAATGCACAGGCAGAATTTTTTTTATAAGCATTTAAAGTTCAAATGTTGACAAAATTTAGCACATTTAAATTTTAATGATTATTTTGTAGTTAAAAATTTATAAAATGTTCAAATTTTATAGCCAAGGATTGAAAATTTAAAACAAGATTCCACGTAAATAGGTTATATATAAATTACTTTATTCATCTTGATATCATCAAATATACTTAGTAATATCATAGGCTGACTGACCGTTTTCGCTCAGAATCGTTTTCCTTACCTATACTATAATATTATATCATAGAATTCAAATTTAACACCATCTATTACAGTGACCCACTTGTAACCTACTGTACAGCAGAGCGATATCTACTTACCCACTTTTTAAGCTCACCATTCAATGGTGACCATTGTAGGTATAGCTATAGCTCAGATTTCTAGCTTGGTCTGCTATACATCGAGAACATATAGAATAATGTGCAACGTCTACAACTTCCAAGCCCTAGATATAACAGAACCAATGTTATTTCCCATTATAATTTATAAACTTATAACTTATAAGTTTTAGGCAGTTAAAGCCACGAAGTCTAGAATCTTCTAGTTTGCTATGCACAGAACTTATTATAACCTATGTTAATTGATGTCTGATAACATTCTTTTGTATATAAATATTTCGTAATGATAATTAATGTGTGTAGGTACATCGCTGTGTATGATGAATCATTACCTTCATAACTTTATATTAAGCCGCGTCCAGACCAAGAAAAAAACAAAAAACATTGTTGTCAACAAAATATGACAAAAAGTTACCGACAAAGTTACTGACAAAAATTAAAAGTACGCGTCCAGACCAAAGAAACATTAATTGTCGGAAACAAATGTATGACAGTCGACATTTAGTCTTTATCAAAATGTGGTTTGAGGAGGACGTTGCGATCGCTGCTGCTGCTGCTTGCGTAATTTTAAGTTTAAAATCAAAAAAACCAAAAAAAAGATTTTGGGTTCGTCCAAGTCTTTTAACAAGGAAACAATATAGTGATAGTGATTTAAAGATTGACCTTCAACGTGATGACATTAATCTATCCGGAGAGTTGAGGTATGCTATAGTACCGTTGTATATTTATATCTAAAACTATGTAGGTACATAGGTATAATCTATTTTACTCAATTATTAATTTTTTTAATAGGTGTAATGGTAGTTTCAAAAATTTCCTACGTATGTCAAGTGCAGATTTTGAGTTTTTGATTAATCTTGTCGGTCACCGAATCGGTAAAAAAAAACACAAATTATAGAGACGCTATACCAGTGAACGAAAGATTAGCAGTAGCACTGAGATTCTTAGCCACCGGTGATTCCTATCATAGTTTGATGTATACTTTTAAAATGTCTAAACAAAGTATCTCTCTTATTGTTCCCGAAGTTTGTGCAGCATTGATTGACGCTTTGAAGGATTATTTAAATGTAAAAGCATAAATATATTACTAATAGTTATTTAAATAATAATAAATTACTTATATATTTATTATTTGTTTACTATATCAGAACTATAATTTATAGTTAGAAATTCATAAACATTTTCTTTACACCTATTTTTATAGACATTTTAATTTAAAAATAGAATGAAATTCAATATTTTAACAAACAATTTAGTTTTTGTTATTTTGCTGTAATTTAAAAATATTGTTCAATTATACTTGAATTTTTTAAATTATATTATACAATATACTTACAATAAAATTTTTAAATGCATTATTTTTGGCAAAAATTATTCAATCTACTGTAGATAGACAATACTAAAATAAATTATTTTTATAGCAAATAAATTTATCATATAATATTTATTAATATATTATGCTGACAGACCATCTTTTTTTAATTGTGATTTCAAAGGGAAAATATTTTTTTTCTAAACAAAATGATAAAACTATGTAGGTAAATGAAAACATAATATTAATTTTATTATAAATCAATTTCATATACTTTTATGATTAAAAAGAAACAATAGCAAAAACCTCTTTTGTGTTGAAAAATAATAAAAACATATAGTTATACAGAAAATAATAACTTTTTTTAAATAGAATGTTATACTTCATCGAAACTATCTTCGTCAATGAATGATGGTGCAGGTGTTGTAGGTGTTGGTGAAGTAAGGCTTGTTATAGTTGAACTTGATGGTGAAGAAGGAATATTAGAGCTTTGATATGGCACACTTACAGACTGACTTTGGTTGTTCGGTTGTTGAAAATATTGGTACTGCTGCTGAGGGGGGAAATCATACTTCCCAGTTTCTGCTTCATACAATATGTTGTTAATTAAATATTCTACAGTACTTTTAGCATAGTTTGTACGTAATTTTCTTATTTTAAAACCAACGTGTTCTCCAAATACATGATACTCATCTCTTTGTCCTTGCTTGCTTACCAAAGATTTCATCACTTCATACGCTTCTTCGGCCATTGGATTTTTTTTTCTTTTTTGATTTTTTTTCTGCACTGGTAATTTTGGTGTAATGAACAATGCATCCGAAGTATTTGTTGTATTTCCAGGATTTGTGTGGCATTCATATTGGTCTTTTACGTTATTTTCCTCGTTGTTAATTTCCAAAGGTTAATTTTCTTCTGCAGTACACATTTCATTATTCACTATCTGAAACAATTCGAATAAGTTAATTTTATCTGTAGTATACGAATATATACTAGTTGGTAATTATTTGCATGCTATTAAATTTTTCCTTTTTTTTCTACGTTTTTGAATGACAACAAAATAAAAAAATCGTTCAATAAGAAATAGTTAATTTACATTGATTAATGTCATCTATTCAATTTTTAAATCTTGGATTTTAAAATAAAAAAGTTCATGCATTTATAGCTCTAAAGAATTTGCACATTTTCGTGATTTTGTCAAAATTCTAACTTGAAACGCCTAAAAAAAATATTGCGAACATATTGTATTTTGAATTTTTTATATTTTTAAATCGGTAGATATGAACAAGTTTTTTATGAGAAATGGTTAATTTAATGAACTATTATAATATATTCTCGAAGTTTTTTAGTTCAATCATATTAGTTATTAGTTATATTTGTTTAAGATGCCCACAACAAAAGAAGAATGGCAATTAATTGCCAATGATTTCAATTGTCAATGGAATTTTCCATTTTGCATTGGATCTATGGACGGAAAACACATAATGTTAAAAGCTCCGGTTCAAACAGGAAGTGAATATATTAATTACGAGGGATTTTTCAGTATTGTTTTATTTGCTGTTGTCGATGCCAATTACAATTTTATATACGTCAACGTTGGATGTCAGGGCCGTATATCAGATGGTGGCGTGTTTGCGAACACTACATTCAAACATTTTTTAGAAGAACAAAAATTAAATTTACCAGAAGACATGTGCCTGCCAGGAAGAGAAAAATGTATTCCACATATATTTGTTGCTGATGACGCTTTTCCTTTGAAAAAACATATCATGAAACCATATCCAGATTCCAGGCACACAAGAAAAAGGATCAATAAAAAGAATATTTAACTACCGCTTAAGTAGAGCCCGACGAGTGGTTGAAAATTCATTCGGAATAGTGTCTGCAATTTTTAGAGTTTTACGAAAACCTATGCTTCTAGAACCAGAAAAAGCAACAATTATAACCTTAACCTGTGTCCATTTGCATAACTTTTTGCGAAAAAGTTTTTCATCTAGAACAAGTTATACACCACCTGGTATTTTTGACATAGAAGATTTAGATGGAGGGACAATAATACCTGGCCAATGGAGAAGAGATCAAAATAATTTAACACCATTAGCAAGAATTGGAAGAAAATCATCACTAGCTGCACAAGAAATTAGAGACGAGTTTTGTGATTTTTTTCAAAGTGCTGCTGGTAAAGTACCTTGGCAAGACAACTATTAATGTTAAAATAAAAAAAAAAAAAAAATAAAACACAAATCAGTTAGGCTGACTCTCATTGTATCATAAGAATAATTGTAAATCAAATATTTACAAATTGTAAAGTATTGAACCATTTAAGTATTATTCATTAAAAAATTAAACTCCTATTATTATATGATCTTTCAATTAGTATATAGTGGCATAATTTAAAAGTCAATTTATTAGCAAAATATATAGTGACTTACGTAGATATTGAAATGAAAATATTACATATTGTATTTCTTCTAACAGTATACATATTGTAAACTGTATAATAAATATTATTATGTGTGTTGTTGAAAAAGTAAAGCTAACCTAAAATTTTGTTTTGTATATTATGAGTTCATATTTGGACTGTATAATAAATTAAATTTGTAGTTTTAAACCAAACTTGACATACGTTATGAAGTATGTATTATAATGAAACATAAATCAGTAGGCAAATAATAACTAGTATATAATAACTCATATGTATAATTGTAATATGGAAGCATTGAAGCCAAATATTTTGACTGTAAGCATATTAGTCTTATTTTATTAAACCAATGTTATTAAGACCTATGTATGTGTTGATGAAAAATTAAATTGTTTAAAAATGTTATAGTAAGTAAGATTCTCATAATGTTAAAACAGTTTAATATATACACATCACTCTGTATTTAAAAAATATTACATAATAATGTAATTTATAATTTACTTACTTCAATTCCAGCATCAGACGTTACACGAGGTTTGTTTTTATCCTTTAAAAACATCAAAGAATTGAAAGCGAACCATTTTGACTCCATAACTTCGTCAATTCCAGCACCTGACTTCGTCTTTTTGCATTCGCGATAAAATTGGCCAATAACATTTTTCATTTTTTTTTCAATGTCTGCTTTGTCAATGTTCATTATTTTTGAAATTTCACACCACGCGTCATTTTTTTTAAACTTATTTTTATAATCTGACAGCGTTTGGTCCCATAGTACTGGTCTTTCATAGTACAAATCAATTAACTGACACACTTTTTCTCTAGATAACTCCATGGTAGGTATTAACGAATAATAGCAAATACGTATATTACAATATTTAAAGTGATCAGTAGTGACTAAATCGACCAACTGAACTTACTAAACACAAAATAGTACAATTTCATAAAAATATCAAAATGTTTCTGTGACAACGACGACAGGTCTGGACATGCCGATACATTGTCGATGACAATGTTTGTAAACATCCTTTGAAGTTTACGTTTACCGCTACTCGGCCGATACCAAAAATTTGTCACCGACAGGGTCCGTGACAATGTCGTCGACAAAATTTTAAAAACATACTCAAAAGTTTGTCGACGACAATGTCGAAAACATGTGTTTCCGACAAATGTTTCTTTGGTCTGGACGCGGCTTTATGTATAACAGGAACAAGTGACGCCAGTGAGGGGGTGTCACTACACCTGCAACCTGCAACACCAAACTGGCTACGCTCCTGTAATGGGCAATATACCTATATTATAGACAATAGACATACACAAACGCCAAATTTACGTATACCTAGTTGGATCTTACTGTTTATATATTTAATAATATAATATATAATATTGTACTATAATAATTTAATTATATATTTATAATTTATAATAATAATAATTTATTTATATATATATTTATAATTTATAATAAAAATTCAACGAAAGAAAAGAAATCTTTAAAGATATACATAAATAAGTAGTAAATATTAATATGATAAATGATCAAATATAAAAAAAAAAATCATAATTTCATTTTTTTACCGAATGGATCAAAATTTTACCCCTTCCCCTTCAATTACATTACCTCCCCTTTTATTTACCCCTTAAAAAAAAAAATATATATATAATCTTCTAATGTACATTTGTATCGACTATACCGAACACTTGTCCGACATATATTTTACCCCTTCCTAAACAAATATATAACCTCCCCTCTTATTTTCCCTTTAAAACTAAAAATATATAATATTCTGATGTAAATATGTATCGACTATATCATACATACATACATACACACTAACATATACATGCTCATAATATCATATAAGGTAGGTACCTACAACATAACACATATCTAAAAATATTATGACATTTTCAGATTATATTCCCATTCGAATAAACATCTCGCTAAAGCATACACCGGAATGTATCTCAAATATATTATAATATAGTTCAGATATATAGGTGCATACTTATATCTTTTATATCCAAACAATTATACACACAATTTAGTATTTACATGATATATACGATACATAGGTATATTTATACATATGATATGACCAAACACTTACAAACTATAATATACTATGAAACACACGATACCATACAGTACTCATCAGTTTTCATTCTGAACACACGCTCAACATATACAGTATTACAGTGTGTTTCCTTTTAAAGGAAAATAAATAATTAAAAATTTTTGAATTAATAACTATTAATTACCCAGAATAGAAAGTCTATAAATAATGAATTATCTTGACAAAAATATATTTTTTTTTGCGCATTGCACTTATGATTACGATAAAAATATATGATTAACACAAAACTCAGGCTTAAAAATAGTAAAATAAATAAATATTGCTCACGTAGGTAGCCTCTCAAATATACTATATCTACATAAAATATGTACTTACGTGCAAAATTTGATACTAAGACGAGGGCGAGTTGTTGTCTTCCGAGCATACTAAGGTAAGTATTAGGTAATAGGCCAATAGGTATATAATAAAGCAACGAAATGCGCGTTGGTATGTTACATGCACGACAAACTATAATGGTTTCAAATTATAGGTATTTATTATAACATTAGGCATAACATTATCAATGTTCATAGATGAACACATAAATTAGAATATATAGATACGATACCTACAACCTACATCATTATATAAAAAAATATATATTCTAATTTATGTTTTCATCTATGAACATTGATTATTTCTATGAACGCTAATTTATTTAAAAAAACGCCACCGCCATTTTTTGAAAACATAAATTAGAATATAGATACAATACCTATATACATCATTATAATTATGAAATCGATAATGTTAATTTCTTATAATTAATAGTGATCATTTGGACTTCAAAATCGAGTTTACAATATTTTATATTTTATTGTATTGATTATATCGAAAAAAAAAATTGGAGAAAAAAATCAAGTAATCACGCGGTAAATTAGTGAACGGTAATCGATACCTGGTGGCCTAAATGTTATAATCAATACCATAGGCGCCAGGTACATGGGTGCCCGGGGGCTCAAGCACCCATTAAAATTATTATGGGGTGCCGGGCACCCATTAGAATATTGAAAATGTATAGAGTGTATTTATATCCAAGTTTTGACAATTTTAGCAAACGACTATTGAAATACAATTCTAGCTGTGATCTTTTTCAGCACTTCGAAGATTAAAAACATTTTTAAGGTCTACAATGAAACAAAATCGTCTTAACGATATTTGCTTTATTGTTCGTCCGTCGTAATGAAGATATAGACATTGATAGCTAAGAGCTGACTCATTTATAAATTCAATTATAATAATAGGTAGGTACGTCAAAGCATATTTATTTTCTGAACAGTCAAATTAAATTAATTTTATTTTTTGTTTTACTTATTATTATTATTTATAAATAAGTTCCCAATTTGGTATACATTTATTTTGTTGTATAATTAATATATTTTATAATCAATGATGATCGCATATTTCAGTGTACAACATGGTATATATTATAATTTAATACTTGTATACACCCAAAAAATCCATAAGAAAATGCAAACGTTTTTGGTGAAGTAGTAGAATCGTCATGATTCCTAACCTATAGGCGAAATTTGGAGAGCCAAAATTAAAATTTTAGGGGGTTAAATTGCAACTAGCCCCACCTGAAAAGACAATTCCATTTTTTAAATTTTACGGGGAAATTTGTCTTGACCAGTGGCTAAGCCCCCTCCCCCAAAATTATGTATTTATGCCTATGTTAGTATGATAGGTACCAATGGAACCAAGGCACCCATTAAGTTTTTTGAAACCTGGCGCCTATGATCAATACCCATAATTTGAAACGATTATAGTTCGTCGTGCATGTAACATACCAACGCGCATTTCGTTGGTTTATTATATATACCTATTACCTAATACATATATTAGTATGCTCGGAAAACGACAACACGCCCTCGTCTTAGTATCAAATTTTGCACGTAAGTACATATTTTGTGTATATATAGTATATTTGAGAGGCTGCCTACGTGAGCAATATTTATTTATTTTACGATTTTTAAGCCTGAGGTTTGTGTTAATCATATATTTTTATCGTAATCATAAGTGCTATGCGCAAAAAAAAATATATTTTTGTCAAGATATTTCATTATTTTTAGACATTCTATTCTGGGTAATTAATAGTAAGTTATTATAGTAGGTTGAATATGTATGTTCTGAATCTCCTCCCCCTTTAATTTTACATGTAAAAGCATAGCTCCTCTGTATAGGCAATTCGTAGTACAGACTCCTCCGAATCTTGTATAAATTACTCAATATAGGCAACCCGCAACACACATAAACTCGTCACACGCCACCCAATCCGACACGTGACAGACATATATTTTTTTCGCCTTCCCCTTCAAATATATTGCCTCCCCTTTTATTTACACTTTAAAAAATATGTATATTATACTGATGTACATATTTTGTATCGACTATATCGAACAATTGTCCGACATATATTTTACCCCTTCCCCTTCAATTACATTACCTCCCCTTTTATTTACCCCTTAAAAAAAAAATATATATATATATAATCTTCTAATGTACATTTGTATCGACTATACCGAACACTTGTCCGACATATATTTTACCCCTTCCTAAACAAATATATAACCTCCCCTCTTATTTTCCCTTTAAAAATAAAAATATATAATATTCTGATGTACATTTGTATCGACTATATCATACATACATACATACACACTAACATATACATGCTCATAATATCATATAAGGTAGGTACCTACAACATAACACATAATATCTAAAAATATTATACCATTTTCATATTATAATATTCCCATTCGAATAAAAATCTCGCTAAAGCATACACCGGAATGTATCTCAAATATATTATAATATAGTTTAGATATATAGGTGCATACTTATATCATTTATATCCAAACAATTATATAAACATCATTATCACAAACTCTTTACCATAGCTCTAAAATCAAAATTGAGTAAATGGCAACCAGTCAAAGTTTCGATTAAAATTATTGAATTTTTCACCAATCATACTAGAATTTTATGAATTATTATGAAATTTTATTTATTATTTTTGTATCCGTAGGTTTGCAGATATTATTAAATCATTTAAATTTAATTTTGAGGAATTAATTAACCTAAATTAGACGTAATTGTTAGTTCAATTACTAAGTAAGAAAAGATTAAACTAATTAACACATAATTTTTTTACAATTTCAATCATTTCTATTATTTATTTGGATAGATTTACGTTGTGAGGTTAATTAATTCCTCAAAATTAAATTTAAATGATTTAATAATATCTGCAAACCTACGGATACAAAAATAATAAATAAAATTTCATAATAATTCATAAAATTCTAGTATGGTTGGTGAAAAATTCAATAATTTTAATCGAAACTTTGACTGGTTGGCATTTAGTCAATTTTGATTTAGAGGTATGGTAAAAAGGACCAAATCGACTTAAAAAAATTCGGTCTATCCGAATTTGGTATTCAAAACACCTGTTGCCATTTAAAAAAATGTAAGTTGTATTGCGCATGCGCACACGGAAAAATCTAAAAATGTAAAAATCATTAAGAAATGTGTATTTAAGTATTCCCTACCCCCTCCTGAAAACCGCATATTAATCCAATGTTACTGGATAGAATTATTTAGTGTTATACCTTTAAAAGGAAACACACTATATTATATACCTTATCATACGTACAAGCATGCATACACACACACACACACAAGACACACACTCACAGCCACCCAGTCCTTTATTCATTCAATAATCAATTACATATTATGAACTCTCATACACATACATACATACATACACACATACATACATACATACATACATACATACATACATACAAACATACATACATACATACATACATACATACATACATACATACATACATACATACATACATACATACATACATACATACATACATACATACATACATACATACATACATACAAACATACAAACATACATAAAAATAGTATACAGTTTTCTTATTATATAATTATCTACATACGAAAAAAAGGTGGGTAAGTGGATGTCACTTTGCTGTACAGTAGGTTACAAGTGGGTCACTGTATAATGGATGGTATTAAATTTGAATTCAATGATACAATATCATTGTATAAGAAAAACGATTCTGAGCGAAGACGGTATGTCAGTCTAGGTTTAAGACATATTATATACATATCTATGGTATTAAAAAAAAAATTGACCTATAATAAATTCCAAATTAATCATATCACAATATCCACTAGGTACTTATAACACGTTATACATCAATAAGTGTTCGATGTAATTATCATCATTATTATTCTTGTATTTTGTACACAGTAAAAATAACTTTTCTTGCATATTTTCATACATTTTTTTTTTTTTTTTGGTCGTAAATTACCTATATCAAATTGAGCTATTTTAGTGCTATCTGAATCTATCTCTAATCTAATTTTTTTAATCAGGGTTCAAATAGAGGGATGATTATAGCCAACGAGTTTAGAAAATCTATGATTATGTGTATAAATTTACCAAACCAAGGGATTGTATTTTCCTATAGGTACTTTGCGTTAAATGAAAAAAACAAACTTTTATATTTACATGTTCACCTAATATAGATGTGACTGCATTTATAGCTGCCTTTTCGAAGTCAATATGAACATTAATAGGGTCTGGATACAAGTTTTGATTATGACATGCATTAAGTAACGATTGTAACATATATTCATAAGTAGTTTGCGTTTTTTTTTCTAATAAACAATATACTGTAGTTATATACAAATCATGAATTTTGACTCTTATTACGTATAATTGTTGAAAAATAGAAGGTGCCATTGCAAAGTTACCATCGAACATCCATGTATCCGCCTCGGTAAGATGTTTTAACCCTTTATCAGTGGCGAATATGATAACTCTGTCTTCAAATTGATCTTCTATACTATCTTTTAGTAATAATCTAAGTCCATCATTTGTTAGTGCCCAGTCACCTATAATTTAAATTCAAAAAATAATTAATTAAAAATGTTTTATCGTAATTACATAATGTATTATATTATTAATATTTAGAAATATTAAAAAAAACTGATAGGTAATCAATAAAATACTCAAATAATCAACTATTTATCAATAAAAAAATATACCTAAATTATAATATAGTATTTTCATCTTACCTTCGATTACACAGTCATCTAAATGTCTGGGTTCTTTTAAATTATTTTTTGATCGTTGATTTCGAAGAGTTCTTTTAGTAATTGTTTCTGGTGGCATCTTAGCTCGAGTTTCATTATCCAAGCTTCCAAGTTCTTCACAGTAAATCTCAATTGGATTTGTTGACGTAGTTGCTGCCTTATGTTTCATTCGTGCTAAGCATTTATTGACTTCAACTTCATGCGTGTCTGGAGAATGAGTATGTGCTTTATCGATTATTGGTATTTCAGTAGGATTTTCTTTCGATGTTTTTAATTTGCCTGGACACTTGAGACTCGACGCCTTAGAGCACCTCCAAACATCAGATATTAAAGTGCTGTAATGTTTCGTATACATGTGGCCATTAAAACAAACTTTTTCCGTATTTTTATTAGATTTTATTATTTGATGCGACATTTCAATTAATAAAAAAAAAATAATAATAATACTAATTTAAAACGAAGTAGAAAAAAGGTTGAATTTTTATATGAGAGTGGTAATGAACGCAGCCGAGCTGTTATCTCGTAGCTTTGGACAGACTGAAGTCAGCGATATTATATTTGGGTATATTGGGTGATTTTGTAATCTATAATCGGCGTGTGATTTGGAAAAACTTTGGTGTCATAAGCCGTTATCCGAGCGCGTTATCCGAGCAGCGATAACCAGAATATTGGGTTGTAGGACACTTTGTACGGTCACCCACAAAAACATGATTGTACGTAATTATTACATTTATTACAACATTTAATAATTATATGTTACAGGTATATAATTATATTTTACAAGTTACAAAAAATTTATATTAATAATTTATATTTTCGTTATTATATACGAGGTAATGTTTATGGTCAGAGCCGTGTTAAGGGGGGGGGCAAAGGGGGCAATTGCCCCCGGGCGCCATAGTTTTGTAAAAGTAAGGGGCGTCGTTATTTGAGCTTAATATGCTACTTGGAGCCCAAATTGTAGGGAAAGGGCTCGAATTGCCCCGGGGCGCTGAATTGCTTGACACGGCTCTGTTTATGGTGACTGTAAAATGTTTAACTTGCTTTTTTTAATTTGCTTTTTTTCATTTGCTTTTTTTCATTCGCTTTTTTTTCATTTGCTTTTTTTTCATTCGCTTTTTTTCATTCGCTTTTTTTTCAATTTGCTTTTTCATCCATATGCTTTTTTTTCACTTGCTTTTTTTTACTTGCTTATTTTTCCTTTGCTTTTTATTCAATTGCTTTTTTTTCCTAACCCCATCAATAACAAACCCTGATACTATCATTGATATATAATATAGTGTACTTTAGAAGTTTCAAGTACCCACGAATAGTATTATACACTCACAACAAAATGACTAAAATAGGTATGCTAGGTTTTTTAATATGTAATTTCGTCCCAAATTTGAACTTAAAATGTCTGTAAAAAATAACTGTGCTCATATATTTTTTAGATTTTTTGGCTACAGTATGAACTATTTATGAGAATCTTTTTTTTAAATTTTCAATCTTTAGCTATAAAAACTGAACTTTTTATAATTTATTAATTACGATGGTTGATAATTTTCGAGATTTTGATAAATTTTGTCAAAATGCGATCTTTAAATGCTTATAAAAAAAAATTGTGCCTATGTATTTTTAATATTTTTCAACTACTATTGTAACAATATATCAGGAGCCTTGTATTAATTTTTCACACTTTTTGGCCCAACAGATAAAACTAAAAAATTTGATCTTTAAATGCTTATAAAAAAAACTGTGCCTATGTATTTTTAATATTTTTCAACTACTATTGTAACAATATATCAGGAGCCTTGTATTAATTTTTCACACTTTTTGGCCCAACAGATAAAACTAAAAAATTTGATCTTTAAATGCTTATAAAAAAAACTGTGCCTATGTATTTTTAATATTTTTCAACTGCTATTGTAACAATATATCAGGAGCCTTGTATTAAATTTTTACACTTTTTGGCCCAACAGATAAAACTTTATTGATATTCATAGAAAAAAAAACTAAAAAAATTGAAAACTGAAAATGTCCGTAAACAGCTCAAAAAGAGTCAAAATATTTTCAAAATTGTATGGTGTATAGGAAATGCTAATATAAACATTCAGTGAAATTTTCATGTATCTATAGTTATTCGTTTATGAATAACAACAAAATAAGGAAATCGCTACATGAGAAATCGAGTGAACATCCAATGATGTAAAAATTTGAATTTCATACGCTCATAAAAATTTAATTTGACTGTCCGGTAGAGATTTTTTTTATTGATAAAGGTAGACAAACTTATGAGTAATCTTGTATTACATTTTCAAATCTTAGATTTAAAAAGAAAAATTTTTACGAATTCTTAACTCAAAATAATTTGCTAATTTTTGTGATTTTTCCATATTTTGTCAATTTTTGAACTTTAAATGCTTATAAAAAAAAATTGTGACTAAGGATTTTTAATATTTTTCATCTGCCTTTGAAACAATATATTAGGAGCCTTCAATTACATTTTCAAGTTTTCGCAACCAACAAATAAAATTTTATTGATATTTCTAGATAAAAAACTAAAAAAAAAATGAAAAATGAAAATGTCCCTAAACTGTTCAAAATAAATCAAAACATTTTGAAAATGTTATCGTGTATAGAAAATGCAAATATAAACAACCAGTGAAAATTTCATGTATCTACGGCCATTTGTTTTAAAGTTACACCAAAAACCAAATTCAATTTTCTGAAAAATTGATTTTGCGTAAAAATTCCCGTTTTTCCTTAATTTTTCTTTTGTTTTTCTTGGCGCTTTTGAAAAGTACTGGGAATTTTAAATTTTGACCTCCCCAATGCACCAACGATATTAACTTTCCAATCGAACAAGATACTGAAGTCGAAAATCGAAGCATTATTTCGACTACTTATCGTGTACACAGACACAAAAAAAAAAAATAAATAAATAAATAAAAAAAAAAAAAAAAACACACATCATTGTAAAATCAATATATTCATCGTTTCACTCAGAATCTAAAATAAAAAAATAAAAAAAAAAACACACACATCATTGTTAAATCAATACATTCATCGTTTCACTCAGAATCTAAAACGAATCGCTAAAGCATACGTTATACACCGGAATGTATCTCAAACACACACATACATAAACTTGTAAAAAATTATATTTTTCAAAATATACACGTTAAAGTATAGAGATATTCGTAGACATTCTTCTACCTGACAACATACAGAAATATATATAATATACCTATATACGGCCATACGGGCAACCGTTTACAGATGTCGATGAGTTTCGTGCATCCTTTTCTCTAGCACATACATGCACATACACTCATATAACCATAGGTTAGTTCATACATATTTAGATACTCACATATTCTATACATACACATATTTGTATAATATTCTGAGCACCTTTTTAGAGGGAAGTTTCATCAGTTTAAGCGGGCATTTCTACATGTTCACCGTGTAACACAACATTTCAAAAAGTAATATTACATAATACATTCATTATAACAAACACCTAAACATACTATAAAACTTACATATTATTGTATTATATATAATCATTTATTCCCATACATGGCACAGATATACAGAATTCATACATAAATAGGTTCTTTCATATTATATACACCATCACACACATCTAATCTTGTTATATAACTTACATATCAATATAAGACAATTTGTTGCATATAGACACACTTATACATGAAATACATACTTTAAAATAATTAGTCACATTTACATAGATACATTTAAACATTCCAATACATCCACCCTAAAAAGTATTTTTAAAAGACAACATCGCTCATCAATTGGTTATACCTACTACTACAAAATTGTTATGCCCAATAATCATCTAGATAGTTCAATTCTATTAGATGAGACCATAGTACCTAAGCCACTAGTCTATATTATATTTACCTAAACTCGCCTTATATTATATATATTAAGGAATTATTATTTCCAAAATATTTAGGTACTTTTTAGTATAGAGTTGTATATACTATATAGTATATATTATTAGATATTACACCATATAACCACAGAATAGATTAAATCTTACATATGACTATATCACTCAAGTGACCGACACATATTATATTTTATCAGCGCATACTTACAACAGTCATATCACTTGTATAATATTTGTATTTTACCGTGTGTATACACACACACAGGCATATCACCTCCGCTATATAACATTGTATAAGTTATAACATCGGAAAATTAAGAACTATTAACAATATCTCTCATTTCAGTAGATAGGTACTTTATGCGGTTTATTACAAAAATCTCGAAATAGGTACCTACACAATAATTAACGTTACATCTGTAGTATTATAGTAACATCTTTATCAATAAAAACATTTATAAATCTTCATGTTATTAGTCATTTTCCATACAGGCTCATGCTACAATGAGCATATAGGTGGGACGTGGGTACGTACATACATTCTTGTATCTTTATATATATATATATACACAATACTATTAGGCCAACCTATCATGAATAATATTACAGATACTTACTTATATTTTTAATCAATCATATATACATTGAAATATTGTATGAGATTACATTAGACTAAAATCATAGCTTATATATACATACATGGATTATAGGTATTTAAGAGAAAAAATAAATCTCTTACTGTTATTATTGTACTATAATTCGTCAAGTGCAGTGAGAATTATATATATATAAAACAATAAGTAAAAAATATTATAATCGAGAAACCACCTATTTCTACAGTTACATGAACATGTGAAACATAGTACGATATGCAAACCCACATTAAATCATATACCGATATGTATATTTGACATTACAAACACCTAAACATATTATATGGATTACATAAATATATATATAAGCATATTATAAACATTCAATTATACACCTCAATAAGTCGCCTACATATAGACATACACATATTTACATACACACATACTAGTATATAACCTTACATATTCTTATATAATTAAACAGTATTCATACATAGGTACATACTTACATAGATATATATTTAATTAAACAGCATTCATGCATACGTCATATAGACTTGATCTATTATTCCAAATAATAATTTACATAAAATATTTTCGATATATAATTTATTTGATACCTAATTTCTTAAACATATATTAATTATTATATATTAACAGTTGATACATAAAATATATCAGAACGTAGCCATGCATACTGATACAACGCTATCCAATGTACAGCAATTAAATGCAATATAGGACCTACTCATATATAATTTACTCATTTTTCGTTAAATACGTAGGTAGAATTTATGCTGAAATCTAAAAATTTACTCATCAATATGAATATACGTTAAAATGTACTAATTTCGATAAAAACATAGCTGTCTGTGTGTAAATACAAAAATCTTGCTAAAATAAGTAAAAATATCATAA